TCCCAAGCGAGTTCTTAACCATCGCGCCACTCGGCCGGCCCTAATTCTGTCAGTTTTCACTTTAAATAATTTATAGCTATGTTGCTGGATACCTACAAATTTAGAATCCTGATATCTTCCTGTGAAGGTATCGTTTCTATGCATCATTATGAAATATTCCTCCTTATCTTTCATAATGCTTCTTGGCTTAATGTCTTCTTCATCTAATATTAATATATCACTCTCTTTTGGTTAAGATTGCATGGTGCATTTGTTCCAGCTTTCCTTCTTTCAACCTGTCTTGTTTTTATATTTGAACATGTCTCTTGTAAGCAACATAGTTAGATTTTAAACTCTTCTGCTTGTCTTATTTATTTGATTGGCATGCTTCATTTATTTATCTTTAGTGAAATTACTGATATAGTTAGGTTTGCATCTACCACTTAGCACATTGTTTTTTATTTAGCCCACCTGATTCTTTTTCTCTCCTTTTCACCTACGTTTGGACTAATCAACTTATTATTCAACTTATTCCATGTTTTCTTCTGTTAACTTGTTAGTTATTTATTCTTTATTCTTTTTTTTTTTTACTCTGTGTGTGTTTTATTCAGACGTGGTAGCAACTACAATAGATGCAAAGTAAAATATTCCTTAGATATTGTCATTGTCACAATAAAATCTGAAGGTCATTAGCAGATACAATATTACCTCCTTTAAGCACAGTTGCTAATATGGAATCCTCACATACATATCAATACTAAAATAAAGCTAACCCTGTTTAAGATTCTGGGTTATGGAGTACATTCTGAAACAAACAAAGTCCAATAACCAATAAATCAGTTACTTATAGATTAACAAAGACATTCAATGACTGAATGTCTCAAACAGAATTAAAGACAACATCTGCATAGCACGCATCATATAACCACTTCTAATTTACTTGTGTAGGAAACTGTCCTGTCAATGAGAATATTCTGATGCTAGGATGAAGGCCCAAAGTAGCAGTTCCAGTTTGCTTTTTTCTAATGTTGAAGGTGCTTCCCTGGGCTTTCTAGGTTTTTGCTCCATTCAGAGGATTCTAGTTTGGCCATAATATTCTTTTTTCTTTTTGAAATTTCAACCTACATACTTCACGTATCACAAATTTCTATTTGATCCCACTTCCCCAGGAATTCTAGAACCTTAAAATATTTTAACTCCATTTGGCCGCTTGTCAAATTAAAATTTTCGTTTTAATTCTATATAAATGTTTAACTCTATCGGGCTTTATTATTATTGTTTGGCATAGTCAATATTCACTTACACTCATATTTACCCATGTTTTTACTGTTTGTTGAGCTCTGCATTTCTTTCTGCTTTCAGTGTTTCCATCTAGTATCATTTTCCTTCTGCCTAAACAGCTCTAAAGTTTTTCTTTTTATATAGGTTGGCTGGCAAATAATTCTGTCAGCTTTTCTTTATAGGAACATGTCTTTATTTTACCTTTATTGTTGAAGAGTATTTCCTCTGAGTATAGAATCCTGTGTTGGCAGTTACTTACTTCAGCATGTTAATGGTGCCAGGGCATCGAATACTGGCCTCTATTGTTGATGGTGAGAAGTCAACTGTCAGTCTTGTTGCTCCTTTGAAAGTAATGTGTTTTTCCTTGTCTGGTTGCTTGAAGATTTTCTCTTTGTCTTTGGTTTTCATTGGTTTTATTATATGTGCCTAGATATAGTTCCTTTTATTTATCCTGTCTGGCTTTTGAATCTATGGGTTGATGTCTTTCCTGAGTTTGGAAATTCTTGTCTATTACCTTTCCATATATTACTCCTGCCTCATTCCTTTTCTAGGATTCTAATTATCTGTTTCTTTTTTACTATGACCCACATGTCTGTTATGCTCTTGTCAGCTTTTTTCTTCTTTTTTTTCTCACTGTGCTTCACTTTGTATATGTCTTTTATTGATCTGCCTTTGAGATTAATAATCCTGTGTTCGGCTATACCCATTCTACTATTTGGCCCATCTATTGGTTCTTAATATCATATGTGGTGTTTTCAGTTCTAAGATGACCACTCTCTTTTTAATAGATTCCAATTCTCTGCTGAAATTCTCCATCT